ACTGTTTATGCTTTTTACATATTTACAGTCCTAGTTTCAGTGACTTCCTTCCTAGTTCTCTTTATCTGAGGTCTTAGCCAGAGGTCTTGTTCAGGTGACTGTGCTAATATCTCCTGATTGGGGAGGAGAAGTGGGAAACCTTGAAGGTATTTATTCCTACTCAAACTCAGTTCAGTTCAGTTCAGTCGTTCAGTCGTGTCCGACTCTTTGCGACCCCATGAATCACAGGACGCCAGGCCTCCCTGTCCATCACCAACTCCTGAAGTTTGCTCAAACTCATGTCCATCGAGTCGGTGATGCCATCCAGCCGTCTCATCCTCTGTCGTCCCCTTCTCCTCCCGCCCCCAATCCCTCCCAGCATCAGGGTCTTTTCCAATGAGTCAACTCTTTGCATCAGGTCGCCAAAGTATTGGAGTTTCAGCTTCAGCATCAATCCTTCCAATGAACACCCAGGACTGATCTCCTTTAGGATGGACTGTTGGACCTCCTTGCAGACCTCAGCAATTTTCCACTCCTACCCTTCCCCCTCACTCTCCTCCCCTATTCAGGGCCCACAAAACATCCAGTGCCTTTTGTTTAGGGCTCCCTCTATGTGAGACACACCATGCTGATCCACCTGACCCTCGACTGGTATGCCATTTTATGGGGGAATGAGGCAGGAGGGAGTTGGCATCTTCTCCAGTTTTAGCCTCCTGCATATACTACCACTCTAAGTGATTAACAGCTTCACTGTTACTTTCAGTTAAGCCCCTTGCTTTAATCGGCTGTTCTGACGCCTTAACGGCTGTTTTCTTCTAGTTCAGCTGAGTTCCTCACAGGGTAGCGGTAATCCTCCAACTTTTTTCTTCTTCAATACTGTGTGGGTTATTCTGGGTCTTTCACCTCTCTTATAAACTTTAGAATCAGTCTGTCAGAATCCTCAAGATAACTGGCTGGGATTTTGATTGGGATCACATTGACTATAGATCACGCTGGGAAGAACTGACATCTTGACAATATTGAGTCTTCCTGTTCATGAACATGGAGCATCTTTCCATTTATTTAGTTCCTCTTTGATTACTTTCACCAGAGTTTTGTAGTTTTCCTCATATAGATTTTATGCATTTTTGTTACATTTATACTTAAGTGTTTTTTAATTTTTTAGGAATTTGTTTTTTTGTAACATTTATTTTTATTTATTTGGTTGTACTGGGTCATAGTTGCAGCACATGGGATTTTCAGTTGTGGCAAAGAAACTCTTCAGCAAGTCATGCAAACTCTTAGTTCCAACATGTGGGATCTAGTTCCCTGACCAGGGATCAAACCAAGACCTCCTGCTTTGGAGCAAAGAGTCTTAGCCACTGGACAGCCAGGGAGGTCCCATACTTAAGTATTTTATTTTGAGGGGTGCTGATGTAAATAGTGTTACATTTTAAATTTCAAATTCCAATTGTTCCTTCTTGGTACATAGGAAAATGATAGACTTTTGTATATCATATCCTGTAACCTTGATATTGTATCCAATATCCTTATATGTTGTATCCTGTACCCTTGCTATACATTGCTTATTTATTATTTCCAGTTTTCTTTGTTATTGTTATTGATTTTCTACATAGCAATCATGTCACCCACCAAGACAGTTTTATATCTTCCTAAACTGTATACTATTTATTTCCTTTTCTTTTCTGATTACATTAGTTATGACTTCCAATATGAAGTTGGAAAGGAGTCACAAGAAGAATCATTCTTGCCTTAATCCTAATCCAAGCAGAAAAACTTCTAGTTTCTCATAATTTAATGTTAGTTCTTTGTGAATGTTATTTATCGAGGTGAATAAGTTCCCTTTATTCCTAATGTGTGTAGAGTTTTTATCATAAATGATATTGGATTTTGTCAAGTTATTTTTTTCTATCTATTGATAAGATTCTATAATTTTTATTTTTTAACCTATTGCTGTAATGAATTACATTAATTGAGTGAATGCTGAGCCAGCCATGCATACCCAGAGTAAATCCTGCTTGTTTATGGTATTTATACACTTTAAAAATATATTGTTAGGTTCAGTTTGCTATTCTTTTGTTAGGGATTTTTTCATTTACGTTCATGAGAGATGTTGGTCTGTAGTTTTCTTTTACTGCAAGGTCTTTGTCTGGTGTTGGTATTAGGCCAATGCTGGCCTAATAGTTTAAATTCTTGTCCTGATAACTGAACATCCCTGCTATACATGAGTCTGGTTCAAGGGCTTGCTCTGTTTTTGCCTTGCAATTTTTTGTTGAAAGCCATACATGATGTATGGGTGAAAGGAACAGTGGCGAAGAGACCTTCAGTGATTTAGTGGGAGGCCATGAGGAGAGAGGAAGCTTATAATCATAGAGGAAGCTTTTGAGAGTCCTGTGTTTGGGCCTTAGTCTTTTAGTGAACTTGAGCCCTGGGCTGTGAATTTCCGAAGCATTTCTCGTGTTTTTTACAGCCCCTTAGCTAGGGCAAGAAGGCTAGGGCCTTCTTCTGTGTTAGGCTCTGATAAAACTCCATCAGGTAAGGCTCTGATAAAATAATTTCTCTTGAGGTAGCCCTTCAGAATGGTATCAAGTATTTCAGAACAGTTCCTTTCCCCTGTCCCCCTGCTGGAAGTTTGAGGGAAATACCCGAGAATCTTCAGTGTGACAACTGATAGATCTGGGAACAAACAACAAAATCCTAGGAGACCCACAAAGGCTGAGTTCCTGTGGAGTTTTTAAACTCTCAGATTTGTCCACACTGAGCCTCCAACAACTCAGCAATTAGAGTTTAGATTTTCCTTCCCTAGTACTGGTTTTCACAGAGCTTTCTACGCATGGGTTTCTGCTTTGGTAAGTTGTGATTCTCTGTATACACCTGTCTTTTTCTCCAATTTCAGGGGCAGCAGTTTGCCCTTTCACCTGAATTCTTTGACAGATCTAACAAAAGCTGGTGATTTTCAGTTTGTTCAGCTTTTTACTTGTTTTTAAGGATACAGTGATGACTTTCAAGCTCCTGACATGATAAAATAGTAACTGAAAGTCTTTTATGTCTTTGACCCATGGATATATATCTATGTGTATATATATATTTTTTTGGAGCAATTTTACATTAACATCAAAACTGAATAGAAAATACAGACATCCCATACACGCCCTGCCCCCACGCATGCACAGCCTCCCCCATTATCAACATCCCCCACGAGAATGGTACATTTGTTATCATCGATGAACCGAGCTTGACACATCATTATCACCCAAAGTCTACAGTTTACATTACAGTTTTACAGTTCAGTCATGGTGGTGTACATTATATGAATTTGGATCAATGTGTTTTCAAAGTGAAGTAATCCTAATGATGTCATATTTGTGTCTTGGACTGAAAGGAGAAATGTTAAGCCTCTATTCTTGTTTTTTAAATAGATGTCCTAAAATATTTGTTAATAGAATAACAGAATATATCCAAACATATTTGCAGGGATGAATTTTCCTTTGACTTGGCTTAATGGGATCTCTGGGATTTACAAACACACACCCCTTTGCCACCTTTGCTGCCGTAAGTCGTGTTATCAGTTCTGAACAGACTAGGGCTGGCCATTTAATGCCATGAATCAGGGAATATAATTTGAGTTTAGAGCTCCGTTCCTATTAGAAGTAAAAATGCTTCTGGAGTGAAGAAGCCTTTGAACCAGCCAGAGCCTTTCCCCCTTAACATCAGTGGGCCCCACTGCAACGAGATGGGAGCCAGGAAAGGTGAGTTTGGGTCCTTTCTGACCATCTGACAGGCGGTCACCTGACTTCTTTGGACGTTGTTCCCTCAGCTGTAAACCCAGAGGCTTGGGCTGGATAATCCAAATGTCCCTAAAAGCCAAGATGCTAGGCTTTTGAAAACGCTGACTGTGAAAAAATAAAATACCATCCTATGTCTACAGAATCCGGCAACTCCAAGGCCATCATAAGTCAAAACAAAGGTTGGATTTGATGAGGGAAGAACTTCTCTTCAAAGACCTCTGCTTAAATGTAGAAATAAGGCAGATAGCATCAAAACAGTCATATGTCAGTCTATTTTATGCAATGTTAAATTCCTTCTTAACTTCCCAGATCACAGTTACATCCAATTGCAAAATTAGGACTAAGGTAAACTGCGCGCCATGAGACTTGACATAAACCTGTGGTATTTTTGGGGTACCGTGGCATTCCTAGGGATAGCCAAATATGTTAACTCATTTTCGAGTTCAAGGAACAGGGGTATTAGAAATTGCGTGGCTTGCCTAAGTCCTACAGCTAGTGAGCGACAGAGGATTTTAAATTTGCCCGTGCATTTTAGTTCAGGTTTCCCGAACGTCAGGAGCCTCCTCTGCGTGACTTTACAAAACAGAAGGTGGTAGTCCACGAACATCAGGCCAACGTGCTTTTTCTCTGGGTTGGGCCCTATGTTGCACGCTGTACACGAATTTTCTCAGCTCTCACAACATCCCTACGAATAGGTACTTTAGTATTTACACTTGTTTACTGCGCAGACTATTCTTGAGACCAACCTGTAGAGCAGGCAAAAGGTGCGAGTTACCGGCTCCGGGGAGACCCCTGCAACTCGGGCGAGGGTCTGGGGAAACTGGGGGAAACTGAAGCGATGGGGTGTCTTGCTTTTCTGTTCTTTGGAGAGTCTCTGGCTGTAGTCTCACACTACTGTTTGTCCCTGAGCTCCCCAAGGCTGTGCGCCACTTTGCGCCCAGAGATTTGTGTGTCCCAATTACCGTGCATGGCTCTCGCCTTCCGTTCAGACGCCGGAGCAGTTGGAATAAGCTCCGAGGAGGACGCAGAGCACAGAGCGATCCGAGCCCGGGGCGGCGCACAGGTGCAGCGGCTCCCGCACTGGCGACCGCAGGCTTCCGCCAAACCGCGCGGTCTCCGCGCTGTCAGCGAGCCGGCGGAGCTGGGGATCAGCCGCGGAGCCCGCAACTCAGCTGACCTGGGGGCGTGGCCGCCAACCGGGGGCGTGGGCGGGAGCCGGGGGCGGGCCCCGGGGCGGGGTCAGCTAGAGCTCTGGCTGTGCGTGGCTTCCGCTGTCCCCCGCATCCCTCGGGTTCTTGCTCTGTGCGTGTATCGGGTACCCGCCAACACCATGCTCCTCCGCCTGCTCCTGCTGCTTGCGCCGTGCGGGGCGGGCTTCGCTACCGAGGTGGTCAGCATCAGCTTGCGGGGAAACTGGAAGATCCACAGCGGGAACGGTTCGCTGCAGCTGCCCGCGGCGGTTCCCGGTTGTGTGCACAGCGCCTTGTTCCACCAGAGGATCATCAAGGTACTGTGTGCGGCCGCTCCGCCAGGAACCTGCGCCCAGGTCCCTCGCGCGGTGAGAGGGGGCCCAGGAACAGCCTGGCCGCCCCCGAGCCCGGCGGTGTTCTCCTGGGTTTGGCACTTCCGCTTTGCTTCTTGTGGTCTGCAAGGGGTTGGGCGTGGGGGGAGGGTGGTGAGGCAATGTGTCTACTCTTGGCGAAGAGCACCGCTGGGGTCCGGGCTAGATGGAGACTGAGCCCCTCCCCCTCACTGGGGCCGCAGTAACTCAGGAAAGCGGAGCTTCGGGCAGTTATTCTGGCAATGTCATTGCCATGGTTCTCCGCTGAAGCGCGCGTTGGAAAGGACATGTCACTGACGGAGCCTGAGGCGGGGGTTGAGTGTTCCAACTACCCGAACACTGCAGGGGACGATAGTGTTTTGCCAAGTAAGTGTTAACTATATTCAGTGATGCCTTAGTTTTTCATTTTGGCTTTTAGGGTCAGATGTGGAATTGATACAGCAGCACATAGGCTGAGAATGAGACCCGCAAGTGTAAGGTTGGGATTGTCCGTGTTAGTGTAAAGGCTAAATAATTGTTAAGGCTGGTTGGTGGGATATGAAGAAAGATGCTGTTTCCTTGCAGTGCATGTGATGTGGTGTGTGTGTCCCAATAGATGCTTCAGTTTCTAGACTTCTTATGGAGGACGTTTTCCTGTTTGGCTGCCTGTGGGTAGAGGTTTGCAAACAGACTGCCACTTCCCACTGTTTTTTCCTTCCATCCGCTGCACATCTTTAATGGCTTTGCTTGGGACAAGATGTACTTGATAAGTGGTTGGCACGCATTGTCCTGATCCTCCTAAACACTCCAGGGTGAGTGTCATACAGTATAGGAGGCTATGAAGTCAGGCCAGGCTGGTATAAAATTCCGTTTCTGCCACTCTAAAGAGTAAGTCTTCTCTGCATTTTATGGATGATATGAATTATGGAGCCCAGAGAAGTTAGAGAATGTACCCAAGATCACACAGCAACTTAGAGTGACATAAATGGAATTCTAAATCAGCCTGGCCTGACTTCATAGCCTTCTGTATTGTGTGACACTTCTCCTGGTGGTTTGAAAAAATCAAGTGTTTTTAAAGCACTGGAGTTGACTGTCAGGAATATAATTCAAAGTTTACTTAAATGACGGGACAATTGACTGTTATGCAGATTTCTGATCTGGTATCATTAGCTCTTTTTCAAGAATGTGTATCAGAAAAGAAACAAATGTAAATGACACTGACCATGGTCCTGTTTATTTATTTATTTTTAAGTAAGTCATTCTCAAACATAAGTATTTTAAACTATTTTTAGTTAACAAACAGCTTATGACATGGACCTTGGTACCCTAAGGCTTCACTAACCCATACTTTGAGGATGCTTGTGTTTATATTGCAGTGTCTCTCCTGCCTCATTTTCCTGATTAAATTAAGGCAATGGGAAATCACTAGTGGCTGTAGTAAATCAGAATACCGTTCTGTGTTACAGGGCTGCATACCAAGAAATGTTTTGTTACTCTTTAAAGTGAATGATGTGCTCATAGACTGAAATAACTGACTTTTCCTCATGGGAACAATTTACAATGTCTGTTAGATCTGTTAATAAATTCTTAGGAAAACTTTAAGTTTCAATAAGGTAGATGTGGGCTTCCCTGATGGTTCAGTGGTAAAGAATCCATTCACAGTGCAGGAGACATTGGGTTGGAAAGATTCCCCTGGAGAAGGAAATGGCTACCCACTGCAGTTTTCTTGCCTGGAGGATCCCATGGACAGAGGAGCCTGGTGAGCTGCAATCCTCCGGGTGGCAAAGGAGTGAGACACAACGAAGTGACTAAACAACAACAAGGTACATGTAGGTCTTAAATGATAGTGAGATGAGAGATGGGGAGCTTTTGGCGATTGGGGAACTCCAGGATATTGATAATAACGTACATCAGGTATCATGTTGAGTAATATGATGTTGTTATTCCACCTGCTTTATTATAACATCCATTTTTGGTGTTGACCTCAGGAAATAATCTATAGCTTAGAGCAGACCCTGGTCTAAATATGGTGTTTACATGAGAACTTGAAACATATCTCCTTGAAGTCATTCACCTAATTATCTCATAAATATTTATTTGGTACCTCCAAGCATTATTCTAGGTTCTTGGAATTGATAGCTTATGGTGAACCACTGATTAATGATCTCCGAAGAAGATTTAGCTTCGGACCAGGGACCAGGCTTGATCACTCAAGAGCTTTTGTGTAGCAGAGTTTTATTGCTGTGAAAAAGGGACAGAAAAAGCTTCTGACATAGACATCAGAAGGGGACCGAGAGTGCCCTCTGCTAGTCTTAGAAAGGGAGTTATATACTTTTTTCACTTGGTCGTTACAGGAAATCAAAAGAATGTCTCAAGGTTGTAGACCCACTCCTGCAAAATACATTCTAAGATAACAGGATTAGAACTAATAGAAAGATCTTACCAGACCCACTCCCACGATATACATTTTTAAGATGACAGGATTAGTCAGCAGGTTCTCAAGGAGAAAGAGTCCTCAAGCAGGATGCATGGTTGTCATATAATCATTGGTACAGAGTTTAAGAGAAAACATATCCTTGAACAAGATGAATTGTTTTGTTGTTCAATCATCAGTTCTGGGCTTAAAGAAAAAAAAATGTTTGTCGTTTTCTCCTCCTTGAGAACTCCAGACCCCTATCTTCTCCTAGAGAGCCCTAGACCACTCACTCCCACAAATATATATCTTAATTAACAAGATGAAACTAACAACAGAAAGGTTTTACCAGACCCACTCCCACAACAGAAGTCTTGAGATAACAAGGTTAGTCAGAAAACCTTCTTGTTAAGGAGAAATATGTCCTCGAGCAAGATACATTGTTATACTGACTAAAACAAAGCAATGTAGAAAATAAATTTGTCTTTTTCTCCTTGAGAGCCCCAGACCCCTTTTTTCTTCCCTAGGACTCTGGACCCCTTTCTCCTCCTTGGGGACCCTGGACTTCTTCTCAACCTACCCAGGAGTTGACTCTCAGAATCAAGTGGTGAAGAAAACAGTTTTTGTCCCAATAGACATTCTAGTGGGGGAGATAAATAATAAACAGATATTAATAGATAATATAGTGACAGCTGGTACACTGAAAAAAAAAATAAAGCAGGTTAAAGGAAGAGAAAATGAAGGCTGGTTAGAAAAGATTCTGTTTTTTAAAAAGTGGTTAAAAATAGCCATTTTGATAAAGATCTTCTGAGGAGATCAGTTTTAAACCAAAGTGCACTTCCAGCAAAAAAGGAAGAAAAGATGGCAGTGAGGAGAGGAGAGGCCTTGAGGCAGGAACTTGGTGAGCTCCAGAAATAGCCAACCAGCTAGTGTGGCTGCAACCCTGTGACTTCAGGGCAGGTGGATAAGTTCAAAGCAGGCCTCTAGAGTAGATCATGCAGGACTCCTATGCCATTGAGAAAAACTTTGGATTTTATTCTGCAATGATGGGGAAATATTTTAGCTAAATTTTAGTTAGTATACATTCTTATTTTCTTAGACAAATTTTTAGAAGTGTAATTGCTGATTCAAAAGAATATGCATTTTTTTCTTTTACTATATACATCTAAGTTGTTCTCCATAAAACTTGTACCAGTTTTACACTCCTGTTGTGACTTTATTAGAGTGCTTATTTTAAGTGCTAGATTTGAATATTATTTTAAAAAACAAAAATAGAAATAATTTGCTTTCTAGTGATGTTAACAATTTTTATATGTTTATGTTATTTGTGATTCAGGATTACTTATTCCTATTTTTAATCTATTTTTCTATTGACTGTCTTCTAAAATATAGATTTGTTAGATTTCTTTTTATATATTTTCAAATTTTTCTGTGTATTAATGATATAGTTTATTATATAGATGTTTTAAAGTTTTATATGTTGAAATCTTATAAACTTTTTTCTTCTATGATTGTTTCTGTCTTGGTATTATGCTTTTAAGTAATCTTCTCTCTCCTAATTAAATAAATATTTAACTGTATTTTCTCCTTTTAGTATTTTTATGTTTCCTCTTTGTATTTTTGTATTTAAAATTTTGATCCATTTGAGTTTTTTCAAATAATTAAGCAATTTTTTATATCCCATGATTTGAACCATTTCTCTTTTGTCCACTAATAAAATGTTACTTTTATCATGCACAAAGATCTCATATATTGATACAATTTTCTTATTCTCTCCTTTAAAATCCTTTTAAAAAGAATAGTAAATGTTCAATACTTATTGTACAAGAATGGTGCATAGAAATATAAACTATGAAGTTAATCCCTGAGATGGTTTTGTAAGCTACTTCATTTAAAATATATGATGAACATCTCTTTGTATCTATAAATGTCTATAAATATAGATCTTCAAAAAATTTTAATAACTGCATAGACTCCATTATAAAGATTTTCCTACTCAAATCTACTCTTAAAAATAGAAGAAAATATATTGATTGTGAAGAGTTGTACGCGACTCAGCAACTGAGCACAAGCACGTATTGAAAATACATTGTAAATACACAAACACTACCAAAAATGGTGGGTACCAGATACAGTGATTGGTGCCAGATGTATAAAAGTGTAGGTAAATCGGGAATGAGGCCCTGTAGTTCAGTTGAAAAAATGCAGACTTTGGTGTTTGGCTAAGTTTATTTCATCCCTGGATGTACTTCTGCTTTGTCATGGGACCTCGGGGAAGACACTTCACCCTTTGGAGCTTTAGTTTCTTCCACTATAAAATGGTATTTACTGCACATCTTTGTTATGAGGATAAGAGTAAATGAGTGACTATCTTGGAGGCTAATATAAAGTAAATGATCAACAAGTGATACTTTGACTGTCTTTAGGATTCAAGGCTTTGTTTTAACAACTCAGTTACTTTCATGGGTCCTTACTCATCAGAGGTAATGGTGAGCTGCTGTTTGCTTTAAACAAGACTCACGATTTTAATATGAGCAGAGGAGATCAGACCACT